GCCAAAAATCTCCTAAAAACGCGTTCATGGAAAAGAACAGCAGTAAATAGAGATGTTTGGAGAGGTTTAATGAAGGAGGCCAAGGCCCGGCTTGGGCTGTAGTGCCATTGGATGGATGGTTTTAAGGTGTTCGTTAGTTCGTTACAAAATGCTTCACTTATCTCGTCCGGTTTGTCAGCAGTAGGGGCATATACCTGGATAATGTTAGATGTAATTGGGTAGGTATTAAGTTGAAGGAGGAGTATTCTTTCCGATATAGGTACAAAGTTTTTAACATGTCTGGCAGTTTCTTGATTTAAGATCATACCTACCCCATTTTCGTGTTTTCCATTAGGGTTACCTAAGTTTTTTAAAGAAATCTTCTATTTTCTTTTATGTTATCGTTTGACAACGATATTTTGCAGCTATATATCTCCATCGTTCCTTTGCAGAACGTCGTGAATTTGCCTCATTTTATCGTTAGACGAAACATAAAGCAATCTGAAAAGGACAAAACTTTATACAATGATAACAAAAATTAAGAACCTAGTCGTCTCCCTAACATATTAAGCCTACTGTATAAAATTCTTGTCCTTAAAGCATTGAAAATCTCGTCGGCGGTCTCATGCTGCCTGTTGTCTGTTGGGTCGTCATCTTCGTCGTCTGATACGCTCAGGTTGTCTGGATGAGGAACCATATCAATGATGTACTGGTCGATGAATTCACTTTCTAAATCGTCGGCTGCTAACCACTCACGTATCTCTTCTTATTTAATTTCGTCACATCCCGGCAAATTTTTTATCAGAGATTTAATTTTTTCTGTCGTTTCTTTGCCATTTTCTTCTTCAGGATCGTCAATCAAAATCCTATCAAAAAGTTAGTTCCAGCATTTTTCCAAAGTTGAAGATTTGATCTTGGCCCAGAACTCAGCACAACGATAAACAACATGTTTCATTGTTGAACATTTGAGGATTTCAGGAACACTTTTGGATTCATTTGTCTCCTGTAATAACGAATGCTCCTCTATAATGTCTCTCGAATGTCTCTATTAGTCCCTGGTCTAACAGCTGAATTAAGCTCGTGACATTCGGTGGCAAAAATCTGACAATTATCACTATTATATAGATTTTGAGTCAACAAGCAACAATGCTTTGATAGGAAGGTTTTTTTATTTTAAAAAGGATTTTACGCTTGGGACTAATTTATTTTCGAACCATTCTGAAAATACAGTGGTCGACATCCATTCACTTTTTTGACTTCTATAAAAAAAAGGAAGTGCTTTTTCTCAAATATCTTTTAGAGCTCTTGGTTTTTTGATTTCCCAACACACATATGCATCAATCGGTGAGTGAAATTGATGGAATTTACATTTTGCGATAAAAATTTACTTTTTATTGACGAAATTATTGAAACTGTCAGCGTTTCGGTCAAACGATGATTCGGTTAAAAACGTTTCGCTTAAAGGAGGTTTTATTGTATATCTTAACTGTAAAAGTGTTGATTGTAGTTTTTGTTTTTTCAGAAAAAAAATACAATGTTTTTAAAAGTTTTTGTAAAGTATTTTCATTCATTAATTTTTAATAAACGAAAATGTCTCCACCCAGGTGAGATTCGAAGTATAATAAAAATTCGGCTTGGGCTGATATTATTTTATTTTATTTTTATCATTCGAAACAAAAAAAGGTCATTTGTAACTTTTCTCTGAAGTCGATCGTTTTCGAGTTTTAAATAATTTAAAACTAAAAAGAAAAAAAAGAAAAATTTCGATTTTCAAGGCTCACAACACAAGCAAAAATATTAATTTTGTAATCATCAAGTACAAACATGCGAAATTTCTTGTATCAAGTCCTGATAAGAATGTTTGCCATATTATGCATGTTTTCAATTTTTGCAAATATTTTTTAATTGTTAATGAGGAAGGTTCTTTGTGGGAAGACTGGGCTGGGCTACATTAATAATTAAAAAACAATGATTTAAAATGAAAGTCCAAAATACTTATCAAGACCTAATAAAATAATGTTGAGCTTGAACTTAGGTACTTCATAATTTCAAAAATGAAGTGAAACTTAATTATTCTAAGCCTTGAAGATCATCATCTCTCGTTATTTTTTGTTTTAAATTGTTTATAACTTGAAAACAATCAGCTTAAGAACAAAAATTAAAAAAGCACTTTTTTGTTTTGAATGAATCTAGAATAATATCTGTCCGCAAAATTTTCTTTATAAAATAAGTTATTATTAAATTATTAATTAATTATAGTCACAACAAAATTAGATCGGGCACCCCTTGATTTTATAATTATTAACATTCTAAATTACATATCAAATAATTTTCATTGCAGTCGATCTTTATCGTATCTGTATACAAAATATAATATCGACAAATTAAATTCAAACGTTGGCGAAGTGCTAAATGCTTCACAGACATATTTCTTAGAAATCAGAGATAACGCTGGGGTGATGTCCAGTTTTCTGACTCACTACACTTCGTATTTCGTAAGTACTGCTATAAATTGGTTGTGGAAGGGGACGATAGGGGAGGTAACGGCAGCTCTTTCTACGATCATTCTCGTATGAGCGCAAATTCGTAACTAGTTGTTTCCCGTAATATCCACTAGAGGCGCTGATTCTTGATGAAATTTTAATTTTTTGGGTTGCACGTTTCTCTCCATAAGCGTTGCGGATCTATTTGGATTATTCAATCAACGGTTATATGTATTGCCTCAGTATACTGTTTATTGAGAAGCTTTTTAGTAATGTCCGCCCATCGCTGTGGAGATCTTCCGCGTTGGCGTTGAGTCTGAGGCCTTCCTTGGACCACCAACCGCTCCATTTTGTGATCACTTCGATGGATATGGCCAAAGAACTTTAAAATCCTAGAGTAAACGGTACTAGAACGGTACTAGAGAGAATTTTACGTTTAGGTACAGTTAATTTAAAAATTACGGTAGTATGGAGAGAATACACAGAAGCGACACAACCGTTCTAAAACCATTTTTGTACCATTTGTGTACCATTTTTTTTACGCATGCCCGATTCTGGTTGCTTAACTGTCATCAACACGTGCTTATTCTTTAACTCTGGTTGTTTTACGATAGTCCGTAGGCGTCTGTGGTAAATACTCAACTCAACAAGTGCATTTGACCATTGATATAATTTATAGTTAAAAGTTTATGTATGTGGTTTTATATTCTGTCGTTTACTTATTACGAGTATTTTGATCAAGACTTGCTTCCTTACAGATCTGAACAACACTGTTAATTAATGTTTGCAGATCTTCTGGAGTAAAAGCTAGGAGTACTGTATCGTCCACATATCGCAAATTATTGATGAAGTCACTGTTCACAATTACTACTTCTTGTTTTTCAGAAAGTGCATTTCTCAACATTCTTTCGGACTAAACGGCGATGTGATTCCAAAGCGTCTACTAAAACTTATGTTTGATTCCAATACAAATTTGCAATTATGCGAGCGTCTCTGCCATCCAAACCAATGTTTCTTAGAAGTTCGATTAATATAGAGTACTTAATACGATCAAATGCCTTTCGTAAGTCCAAATTAAAAAAAATCATGGGTGTACAACAGTACGCCCAACGAAAATATGTAATCCACCATTTTTTTGGCGGCCATTTTGAATTTTCTATTCTCTAACTCATTTCTACTAGTCAAACCCTTTCATTTGATACCCATATTGAAGTAGTTGTGAAAAAATATGTAATTCGCTATTTTGTAGCGGCGTCCATCTTGGATATACAGTGATACTGAATGTATGTAGTTTATGTATAGTCGGTTCGCTAATCTCAGACATAACTGTCTAGTAATTTAATTAATTATTTTTTGCGAAAGTTAGTTACATTTTAGTAGACTAGAAGTGGATGACAATTACTATATTTACAACCAAGCACACATGCTCATAGCCAATATTAAGAGTAAACAAACATAAATCTTACTCCAATCAATAATTATTTATTTACATCATAATATAATTACACAACAGACAACGGAAGATTTGACCAATTATTTAAAGGTAAATGCTCCAAATATATATTTCTACTGCAAGAAGTTAAAGATTACGGAGTACCAAGCAAGCTTTAATGTTTCATATCCATCGGATTATAAAAATGAAGTTCTCAATCCCAGTATCTGGCCTGGGTTGACTTACGATGTTGTGTGTATAACATGTGAGATACGAGGTTTCTGAATTCGGTTGACGCAGGTGTAATTTTACACGCTTTGAGATAAGAGGCTTTCCAATCGATACAGCTCGTATTCCTAATGTAGGTATCCTAAAAAAACACAAAACCTTCGAAAATTGAGATACGAGGTTTTGACATCTTAGCGACGATTTAATTGCTGGGTAAATAGTGTCCGTACACGGATACTTGTCGATTTACTCTCACTATACTAATTGATTAAGTTCTTTGTGTTTTGCATTCTTTATAATACATTTGTACTCATGTGACATTTTCGAAAAAAGATTTATCGCTTGTAAATAAAATATTTGGGAGAAAAATTTAGAAATGGTATATTGGAAATTGGACGATTTTCAAACGAACACGCAAAACTACCAAGATTCCATCGACTGAATAACCGGAATAATAACTTTTGATTATAGTTATCTTTTTCTCTACATATATTACAAACATTTATCTGTATATAACTTGGTACACTCCATGAAATTAAACAACTTTTCTTATGAAACGAATCTTTACATGAATCACATAATTACATAGAAAAAATGGAACCAATAACTTATTCTTATATCTAATTTGCAGACAATACGTAGTTATTCCTTTCATTTCTTGCTGATTACCAAAAATAAACTAAAAAACATATTGTTACATCGGTTTTTATACGAGTTGTTGGTATTTAGAAGTTAACAGAGACAGCAGATAGAAAGAGACGACTAGAATCGCAAACAAAAACTAGTGATAAATAAGTAAATAGTACACAAATGACATATTGGAGAAAAAGCCTTCCAGAAATCCCGGATAAACAAAAGACAAAAAATACTTGTGATACCTACAATATACCAGAAATGCGTCATTATATAGAAGAATAAATCAGATACACGGCTAAATAGACCGATCCTATCCATGTAATTAGTATATATAGTTTACTTCTTTACTTTCTTGATGCAACTTTTTGCAAAACTATTTTTATAATCATAAAATAAATGCCATTCTAAAGATACACAAAACTATGAAACACTGCATTTAAATTATTTTAGAATTAAAAACAAGCACGAAAATTAAAGGAATATCTGCGTATAAGCTTAAAAATCAATAAATTACAAATAATAGTACTGGTAGTCCACTAGTTAGATAAATACAGACGATGGTAGTCGTTAGCCCCAAAAGCACAATTACATTTAGGACATTTCCTCTGCCTTGTTTCATATCTAGTTTTAAGACAATCATAGCAGAATACATGGAAACATTTAGATAGTACGGCGTCTTTCCTCTTGACCTTGCAGGAGGGACAAGTGAGAGTTTCTTTGTATTCGCGGATTTCTTCCATCATGACTTCGTCCAACGTGGTGCCGGCCAATTCCATCTTCTTCATTCTTTCTGCCTTTCGTTTTAGTTGGGCTATTTCTTCTTGAAGGCGTTTGGTTTTGTAAGCTTCAGCTTCTAGCGAACTTGTTTTTTCGGCTACTACTTGTTGCGCTTCTTTCATTTGGGAATGATATTTTTCTGAAAGAAAAATTATGGAAATTAGAAAAACAATTTGTCTAAATATTATTAATCCTAGAACATCAGATAAAATGTGAAATTGTAAAAAGGTTACAAGGGTAAAAAGAGTTATAGTCGCCTCGTATTTCGGTGAGACTGTATAAAAATATATTTATCTGTAAGAAAAGCAGGCAATAAAAATTAAAAGAAAACTACTCTACCAGGAGTAGTTATTAACTGCAAAATTATCAATGACTGAGATGTATAATAATACAAAGTTATAATATTCTTATCGATATTTACATTCCGATGTGCCTGGTATTATATTTGAAAATATGGGCAGTCACCCAGTTGAAGTTTTCATCGAACTGTTGATCAGCCCACGTGGACCAAGAGCCAATGAAAACATCGCATATCGCTATTAAGACAAATCACAATGCATTATCTTGTATCGGTAAACTTATGCATTCTTTGGGTAAGATAACAATATTTGCCTGAGCAACCGAAACCACTACTACTAAACTACTTTAGTTTATCCAAAAAAATTTATTGTATTTTATAGATGTATGATTTTATTGTATAGACACCAACAACTATTGTTTCGATGCCGTACAATGTGACAGTTATTGTGAGAATTCTTTCAGATACGTACTCATAGTCTTTTATATATTTTTTTAATGATTTTTTTATAAGAATTGAGACCCCTGATTTAGCGTGTATATGTTTCTCTACTCCTGACCATAGATGAACGTAGTCTTTAATCTGTTCATTTCCCTGTTCTTTCTTTTTGGTTTCAGAGAGTATTATGATGAGTTAATATTATTATTATGAGTCCATTTTTTGCTTCGTCATTTCCGTTAAGATTTCCATTGTCTTGTGAGTCATGCCTTGAGTGTTCCAAGTACCAATTTTCAAAGTCCTTTTCTTTGCTAGGTGTCGTCGTCGTAAGTTTCCATCCATATTCCGAGGCTCGGCGTTAGAATTTTTAGTCAAAAGAGTTTTTTTTCCAGATGATGAGGGACTGGCCCATCGCTCCAACCCCCAAGCTTGGAGGACCAGGATTTTCTGTTGGGGTTTCTTCCCTTAGTCGACATGTTCCAGTTTTAAGGCGCCAGAAACTCGCCTTACACCCTCTCTCGGCTGCTATACAACGCACATCCATTGTACGCCATATACCCAGTGGTTACGCGACATATATGCCTTCGAGGACGTGAGAGTAGGATTTACTGGCAGAGCCGAGTTCCGTTTCCAGAACCCCCAACCCTTTCGTTGGGAAACGGGTGGACATTTCTCAGAGTTTTATTGCAATATAAAAGTCGATATCTCATATTACCTCTGAGGTCCATACCAGCCTTTAACCCACCACAGCCATGTCTATGCGCCAACAGACGATTCAAATCAACAAGTTAAAGATTCCTTTTATGAAGAGTTATCAAACATCTGTGATAAAATAAAAAGCCATCAAGAAATAATATTGTTAGGAGACCTAAATGCCAGAGTAGGTTCTAAAATAGACGATGAAGTGGTGGGAAGATACGGAGAAATGGTTAAAAATAGTTCAGGGGACAGTTTAATTGAGTTCTGTCAACTTTTTGGTTTAAAAATAATGAACACCCAATTCCCACATAAAGATATTCATAAATACACTTGGGAACGACCTTCACTCCAACAGAAGTCGATCATAGACTATATAATAATGAGACAGAACTCAAAATTTAAGTGCCAAGACTGCAGAGTAAAAAGAGGGTCTAACTGTGGGACAGACCATTACTTTCTTTTAGCTAATATTTTGTGCCCCTTTAAACAAAACAACAAACATAACACCGAAAGTCAGAGAAACAATACTACGCAGTACAAAACGGAGAGATATAAATTGCATCTTTTATTCCAACCAAGTATTAAACATATTTTTCAATGTAGATTAGAAAGGGAACTAAATGAGATGGAAAGAAATATGGATGTAGAACAAGAATACAATAACCTCAAAATGATAATAAAAAAAATTGCTTATGAAGTATTAGGAACAGAGAACAACGACAAAAAACACCACGAACCACCATGGATGACAGAAAACGTAAAAGAAATGATACAAGAAAAGAACAAATTATATAAAAAATGGCTAACAAATAAAACATCTAGCAATAGAGTATCATATCAAATGAAAAACGGAGAAGTACGCCAGCAAATAAAAGAAGCAAAAAATAATTTCTGGGAACAAAAATGTGTCCAAGTTGAAAATTTAATGGGTGGTTCTCAGACAACGGAAGCATGGAGAACTATCACTAATCTAAAGAAGAACACACATAACTCATTAAGCAACTTAATTTCTACAGAAAAATGGGAAAATCACTATAAAAATTTACTCCAAGAGTCCAATGCTGCCAACAAATTAAAATACCATCTGAATGGAAAACCGCTCACCAAGTGTCCATCTTTAAAAAGGGTAATCGAAAAGATCCTAACTGCTACAGAGGATTGAGTGTCCTACCTACTTTCGGCAGATTGTTTGGAAAGATAATAAATAGAAAAATAAAAGATGATGTAGGACATCTAATTAGCGAAGACCAAAGCGGATTTACGCCTGGTAGATCTTGCACTGATAACTTGTTTATACTCCAACAATTAATAGAAAAAAGAATAGCGGTTGGTAACGAAGTACATCTAGCCTTCATCGATCTAGAAAAAGCGTATGATACAGTACCAAGGCCTAAATTGTGGCAAGCTTTACAACAACTCGGCATTAGTCCACACCTTTTAGGAATAATCACAGAAGTATACAGGGATAACACCACTTACCTAAAAATCGGAAATAGACTATCAGAGCCGATAAAAGTAAGTAAAGGACTGAGACAAGGATGCAGTATGTCACCTTTACTGTTTAATTTATATATTGAGGCAGCCCTTCAAAATTGGAAAAACCACTGCCAGGGAATGGGAATCCCAATAGGAAATGACGTACTGTTCTCCCTGAACTTTGCGGATGACCAAGTCGTTCTAGCTCAAGATTCTTATGATCTAGAATTTATGATAAAGCGTCTATACAGAGAATATGTAAAATGGGGGTTAAAAGTCAGCATGAAGAAAACGGAATATCTAGTTATCAATTCAGATGCAAGGTTTGAAGTGTTGATAGACGAGGACGTGGAAATCACACAAGTGGAAAAATTTAAATATTTAGGTGCATTCATTGATAAGAACGGCTTGGGTGAAACCGAAATTAAACACCGAATTAATCAGGGACGTAAAATTGTAGGATGTTTGAACTCCTTATGGTGGGATCGCAACATTTCCAAAAGGAACAAAAAAAGAATAGGGCAAACGATGGTTGAATCAGTTCTTTGTTATGGCTCTGAAGTATGGACAATTAATGCAGACCTCAAAAGAAGATTGTTGGCAGTTGAAATGGATTATTTGAGAAGAAGTGCTAGAACATCAAGGCTGGAAAGGAAAACCAACGAATCTATAAGAAATCAGATGAATGCTACAGATACGGTCATAGACAGAATAGAAAGAAGAGGTTTAAAATGGTTTGGACACCTGTTAAGAATGCCTGACGAACGTTGGCCCCAAAAACTTCACAGATGGAAGCCCCCTGGTAGAAGAAAAAGAGGTAGACCTCGACGCTCATGGAATGAAGGTATTAGAAGAGCAATGGAATCGAGAAGTTTGGAGGAGGAGCATGCCTTGGACCGAGAGGATTATCATCGGAGGAGGACGGGAATACGGCGATAGCCGTCTCCAAGATGTATTCTATTTACAAATTGGATCCTGTAATATATATGTATATATGATTTTATTGTAGATATTCTCGTTTTACTTATAATATATCTTTGAAAATACCCACATACGTCATGATAGAACATAAACGTACAAAGTATTTAATTTAAAATAGTCAAAATACAGGTTAGGTTATTATAAAGTACCTGCTAGATATATAAAAAAAGATGTTCATTACATTTTTAAACCTCTTACCCATTTTTAAATTATTGAGGTACTAAGTCTTCTCTCACACGGTGCACAAACCAAAGTTGTTAATATAATACCCTGTATATAATTTAAAAAATGAATTCTCTATTTTTTCCTGATTACAATAACTAAGTTATCATGGATAAAATTGCTCATAAGTTATAAAACTTATGAGCAGTTATGTTAATAAAACGTTTGTATACTAAAATACTTGTACATAAAAAATTTGTTTAATTTTATGTGATAATTATTTACAATACAAATTATTACAATAAGTTCTGTCCAGTCGAGTCGATTAGTGTTATCACTCCCTAGATATATCACAGAAGTTAACAACACAGATATTTTTTATTTAAACTTTTGGAAATGAAAAATGAAACTTTTGGAAAATAAAATTAAATAACAATAAAAACTTTTATTTAATTTAAAATTAGATATCTACGCTAGTGTTCAGTAAACTACTGATCACTCTAATGTTGTAATTTTGCTAGTATTTTACTCGCTCTTCTTCCTATAAATTTTCCAACGAAATTACGTGCTGACTATACACAAGGTCATTCTTATTTTACAATATTTTGAAAATTATTTTAAATTAATGACATTAATTATATATTACATCACTAAACACAGGAAAATTACGATCACATATTTTTTTCATAACCTAATCGATTAATTAAATAGATTATAGGTAAAAGCGTTAATGAGTTAGACCAGAGAAGTAATGATTTTTCCAAGAAACTCTTTGATACAGGTATCTAACGATTGATTTTGATAAATTTGGTGATAATAAAATCTAATAAACAATATATGCAAAATATTAAACGTCATTTTTTACTCATAAATAATATATAAACAATGTAAGATCGCTATTTGATTTGACTAAGGTGAACATCGATCAATTATATGGAAAAGTGATACAATTTTACTGAAGAAGCATAGAAAATTCTTTAATATTTGTTGCTTAATTATGGCAAAAATAGTAAGTTCATAATATTAGTAGTAATATTTTCAAAAATGCACAAAAAACTCTAATTTCGCGTGGGCATGGAGACAAT